CATCTGCCTTCGGCTCAGGTCATGATCCCGGGGTCCTGGGATTGAGCCCCGCATCGGGCTCCCTGCTCCGTGGGAAGCCTGCTTCTCCCTCCTCCACTCCCCCTGCTTGTGTTCCCTCTCTTGCTGTCTCTCTCTCTCTCTCTGTCAAATAAATAAATAAAATCTTTAAAAAGAAATAAAAAATAAAACATCAAGGGAAGGGACACCTGGGTGGCTCAGGTGATTAAGCGTCTGCCTTTGGCTCAGGTCCCAAGGTCCTGGAATCAAGTCCCACATCGGGCTCCTTGCTTAGCCGGGAGCCTGCTTCTCCCTCTGCCTGCCACTCCCTCTACTTGTGCTCGCTCGCTCTCTCTTTCTCTCTCTCTGACAAATAAATAAGTAAAATCTTAAAAAAAAAAAATTAAATCTTAAAAAAAAAAATCAAGGGTGTCCCCCAAAGATTTCATTAAACTACACAGATGACCAACAAATTGAATGAGTTCTACAGAGTTTGCCTAGTCCTGAAAACTAGTTTATCAACACTAATTGGTAAAACGAATCCTTAAACACTAATTTCGGGAGAATTAAAAAGGAATGTGAAGATTATGAATAAAATGGGATGGAGGAAAAGAAAGAGAATAGTACTATTGCACCACTACAATCCCTCTCATCTCCAACAAGACATGTTTAAAAAGCCCTTTTCTTATAACTCAGTTACTAAGAAAAAGTGACATCACCTGGGCGAGAATTCCTCCCATAATTTAAACCTGAGACATATTTCAAGTCACACTTCAAAATCAACTTGATTACATTTATCCAAGAAGCAAACTGCTTTAGATGGCTGCAATTCAAATTAAAGCCTCACTTAGGACTCTAATATGTCTTTGATTGAGTGAAATGTGATTTGGCTAACAACGTTAAGAAGGCGCAAGGAGAAATATACCAAATTACCAAGATGTCAGGTCTTTTTGGAGACTGCTCACTGAATCAAATTAATGTCAAATTAAAGAAAGGGCCAAATAACTTTTTCTGAGGAACTTAAGTTAGCTTTTCTGCACTGCATATATATGCCAAGGACATATGAGGACAAAGTAGTAAATACTAGGAGTAATACTAGGAGCAGTAATACTAGGAGATAGGAGCCTGGTTTCTAGTCTTTGCTGTGATTGAAGAGCTGTACGATCACAGACAAATCATTTCAGCTCTCTGGGACTTAGTTTCTTCATCTCTAAAATGAGTGTTGGAATAAAAATGTCTTGACCTAGCTTCCAAATCTAATCATCTGTAAGTCTGAGTCTAGATAATTCCTAGGGATAGCATCATAACTGAAAGGGCATCAAGTGTAGTTATAACATCAAATTAATTCATGAAATGTTAAGAAAAGCAAATCCTGGTAAAATCAGCTGGTTTTCCCAACATGCTACTCTAAAAACCATCCAGAAATGTTCTCTAAGATACTCTTTTCTAAAATGAAACTTTAAGGCATATCAAAATTCATCCTAGATAGGTCAAGCCATAAAATATAGGGGAAAACAAACAAACAATAGAATGTATTTAGTTCTAGAAGAGAGTCAAGTATGGACATTCTATGAAAGTGCTCACTTTGAAATGATCTCTCCTTCAAGTACAAAATCATTCTGATCAGAGAAAAGTATCAACAGTGGGGCTGAGAGCCCAGCAGTACATTCAGAATTAGAGACTGCCAGCCAGAGATGTGATGGTAGGTGGGCTCGATGCAGCACAGATTCCTATATGAGAGATCCCTTCAAAGCAGCAGCATGACTGTCAGTCCTGGGTGGAGAGGGCAGCCAAACTGGAAAACAGGAGAAGCGGTGTCTGTTCTTGGTACTTACTCTGATCTCTAGTAATGCTGGAACCTACAGAATAGAATGTGAGTCTGAAAACAGCAACACGATGGCAGTCCCAAAGCTCCAGTAGATAAGAGGAAAAACGCAAGCCACCCACATGATGAAAATGCATTGCTCTTTTTGTGCTCTAATCCTGGCAGTTATCTCCACAAGGAAGGAGACATGTGTCAAGGTGAGAGTGTTTGCCCCAGATTTTCCCAACCCTCTACCTTTCCATAGTTTAGAGACACTGTACCATGGGGTCTCTATCATTTAAAAATTCCATCAATCAATATATCTAAAGGTGCTTCAAATTTTATATGAAATTCATTTTGTATCTCTATTAGTAGCACAAAAGAAAATGATGCCAAAATAAGTAAAATTTCCAGAATAGTATCAAGAGGTTTTCTTTAGAGTTGCAAAGAGTTCCACTCTTTCTAATTGCTATTTTGGTTGTCTTCAACATCAGAGGGACAGAGAACTGAGAATTAGTGTGCTAAGGAGAACAAAATAGACCCCCCCCTATACCTTAGAGAGCTTACTCTGTGATTCCACAGTAGCCACAATCATTTAGCAGAGATCCCTCTTCTAGTTTTACCTCATGAGTCACTGATTTAGGTGTCTTTTCCTCACTTGATGAAGGCAAAGTCTCCCTGGAAATCATGTCTTCTGAATCACAGTCATGTACCTTCTTATTTTTTCCTGAAAAAGAGAAGGGAAGAATTGATCAAATGCAAAGGGTTACACAGAGAAAGGTTGTGCCTTAATGAGAAAACCCAAGCTACACAAGGGGAATGTTCGCCTACTTTTCCTATTGTACAGTCATCTCATCTTTATCTCCTATATTAATCACTTTTCTCCCTGCTTTAAAAAAATAACATAGCAAACATGATCCTTCTTCTAGGATCATCCTCAGAAAGTTAATTTTTGAGCGGTCCCTTTGTTCCTACTTCTGTATTACTCTTCAGGTAAATCCTAAATATACACAACTTCCAGAACCTATGCACTGGGTATCACATAAGATAATTCTTCTGTTTTTCAGGGTCTACTTCTTAGATAAAGAACAGTGTGCTACATAAATCTCACCTTAACTTCCTGAATTATTAATAATAAATAAATTAGCAATATGTTAATGTATATAGAAAGTCATTTCAGGCTTTATTGAAGAATAAAATATGAATCCTCCCTAGGAAAGTCATTGCTGGTTTTATTATAGGATCATTGCTAGCCTGTTATTTTCACTGCACAGAATATTTCATATAGAAGCCAAAGGAGGTATTTTTCTCTGATTTTGGAATGAGCATTCAGAGTACTGTTCCCTATATCATGGCAGCCCTAACTATTATGGTTTAGAAATTTTGTGACATGGCATATTACAAAATCAACAATACAAATATAGTAAAAAAAATATATAGTAAACATATACTTTGGAAACAAAGAAGGTCATTCATTAATGTGTTAAAAAGGACAAAAAGAAATTGTGAACTATTATAACACGAGTTAATTTTATATGTATATATTATGAAATATCAATGAAAAAACAACATATCAAAACTAACATGAAAGTTAACTAAAGCAGTATTTAAAGTGGAAATGTATAGTTTTAAATACATTTATAACAGAAGCAGAAAAAAAGGACAAAAATGAGTTTTATATTTAATCATAAAGGCCAAGTAAAACTGAGGAAACCCCCAAAAAAGTAGAAAGTAAGACATCATAAAGAAATACAGCAAACAGAAAACAATTTAAAACAACAAATCAACAAAATCAAATATTAGTTCTTTGAAAAAGGACAATATTACTAAATGGTGCAATGGAAGAAATGTGTAGACTAAGTTAGATTTATCACAAGATTTCAAATTATGATCGGTATCATAAAAATCTATCAGTGTAAATTGGTATATAACAAATGTCAATTAAAGGACAGAAATCATATTATCATCTGAACATATAAAGAAAAATCATTTGAAAAATTCAATGGCCTTCCAAGGTAGAAATAGAAAGGAACTTCTTTAACTTATAGAAAAGTTTATCCAAAATATTGAGCCAACATTAAGCTTAATGCTAAAACTTTAGACATATTCTCATTGTTTAAGAAAAATATAAAAAGGCCTGTTACCACTACCCTTATTTAACATTGTATAATGTATAATGTATTTGTATTATTGCCCAAGCAATAAAACAAAAGAAGAAGAAAAAAAACCTTAAGAATTGGAAACAAAGCAAGTAAATCATATTTGCAAATACACAGAAAATTAAAGAGACTCTATAGTCAAATTACTAGAAATCATAAAAAAGTCTGACAGGATAGCTGATACAATAAATTAGAAACATTCCATAAACCAACAATAACCAACTAGACACTGAAACAAAAGAAAATGTATCATTCACAATAGAAATAAAAATATAAGGTAACTAGAAATAAACCAAAAATATATAGTAAAAATCGCAAAATCTTACTGAAGTTTACAAAAAGTAGAAGAACCCATATTCATATAGGAGAAAACTTAGTATCATAATAATGGTAAGTAGCCTCTAAATTAATCCACAGATTCAATGCAAATCCAATCAGAATTTAAGCAGGATGTGTGTGTGCGCGCGCGTGTGTGTGTGTTGTGTAGACAAACTAGAGAATATAAGTCCAAGAACAGCAAAGACAACTTGGACAAGGAAAACAGATTGGGGCATTTGCCCTATCAGGTATCAATACTGATTGTAAGTTAGAGTAATCAACAGTGTGAATTGGCATAAGAGTAGAAAAATAGAGGACGAAAAGAGAACAGGGATTCAAAAACATGCTCAAGTACATAAAAGCATTTACTATTAGATAGTGGTGGCATTGCAGATGAGTAGGGAAAACACTAAAATAAATGGGGTTGGGACAACTGGCTTTCCTACCAGAAAAAAAAAAAAATTATATCCCTATCTCAGAGCCTGATAAGATCAAAGATCAAAGTATACAAAATAAATAAATAAAAGAGGCTATTTTTATTCTCTCAGGGTAGGAATAAATTTTCTAATTACAAAAGCACAACTTATAGAAGAAAATATTGATAAACTTGAATATTAATTAAAAGATACTGTCAATACGGGCACCTGGCTGGTTCAGTTGGAAGAGCATGCGACCCTTTATTTCGGGGTTGTACGTTTGAGCCCCAGGTTGGTTGTAGAGATTACTTAGAAACAAAATCTTAAAAAAATAAAAAATGAAAAAAAGAAGATACTCTCAATAGAGTTTTTTTTTTTTTAAAGCATTCACCAGGAAGAAGTGATATGTATCTAGGATACATATCGAATTCCTGAAATTCAATAAGACGAGCCAATAGGGGGGGGAAAATGAGTCAAGTATATTAACCTAGCTGATATTCTTAGTTGGAAGTAACAACATCCAACTACTGCTGATTTGAGAATAAATAAAATTTATTGTATGTCCTCTGGGCAGTTCCTCTAACCACCAAAAAAGCCGAGCAAAAAGACATGGTCTCCTGAATGCTGAGGGTGCACATCTAACACTCACTCCTGTTACTGAATGCTAAAACTATACCATGTCCTCCCATAATCCTTGACATTAAATGTTACTGCCACTATTGATTCACACCAAGATTCAAAGAACCAGGAATTCTGCACTTAAAAAGGAGCTTCATATGCTAGGGAGGCAAATTAAAAGAAAAAAAATATCTGTAAGAATTATAAACAAGCAACTCATAGAAGAAGAAAACTTACAGGCCAATAAATGTATTTAAAAAAAATCCAGTGTCACCTAATAAACAAATGAAAATTAAAGTAATCTACCACTGACTTTGACTTCTGCCCATGAGAAATTTATCACTTAATCACAACCAGAAAATAGGACAAAATACATTGAAACAACAATTTTCAGACATTGTGCAATAGATTATGATCTCAGAGAGAGGGGAAACAAATGAGGTGAGTCTTATGATTGCCCCAGATTAAGTCCTCAAAGAGTTTCCAGGCCACATCTCAAGGAGAGAAGAAAGAGTCCAGTGATCTCATTGAGTTGCAGAGAAAGAGATCAAAGCTCAGAGAGACCATGGCAAGTAGAATTTGCAGGGCAGAATATCAAGAGAGGAGATAGTTGTACAGAACAAGAGAAGTCTGAACATATGCAAAGAAATCCTCTCTTATCCTTTACAGAATATGGGTCTTCTTATATGTAGGACAATCCCTGATATCAAGGAAAATCAGTGGAAAGCAGCAGAGTTTAGTAAGGGTGAGGAACAGTTTGTGTTCTTACAAGCCAGAATGAGATCTCACAATACATTAGGCTCCAGGGAGAGTTCACAGAACAGACACTTCTTAGCAAAACTAAATTATCCCCAGAATAAAGGCTACCCTGCACCACCTTTGAGAAGCTTAATAGCAAGCTTCAAAAAGAATCAAGTTTAATTTGAACTTCAAGTAATATAACTGCAAGGCAGAAAATACCAAACACTTTCTTAAAGGAATAAAAAAAAACCCAGCACCCAAAAATCATATAATTTGCAGCATCCAGCATCCAGTAAACAATTAACAGGGATGCAGAGAAATAGGAAAATATATCCTATGACTAGAAAATTCAGTCAATAGAAATATACTTAGAAATAATAGATGATGAAATTTGTAAACAAGAACCTTGAACAAGCTGTTACAAATTTTATGAAGGTGCTCAAGGAAATAAAATAATACATTATATGTTTAAGAAAAAGAAGAAGAAGATAGTAGGAAGGGAAAAATGAAGGGGGGGAAATCGGAGGTGGAGATGAACCATGAGAGACTATGGACTCTGAGAAACAAATTGAGAGTTCTATAGGGGAGAGGGGGAGGGGGAGGGGTTAGCCTGGTGGTGGGTATTAAAGAGGGCATGTACTGAATGGAGCACTGGGTGTTATGCAAACAATAAATCATGGAACACTACATCAAAAACTAATGATGTAATGTACGGTGATTAACATAACATAATAAAATAAAATTTAAAAAAAGAAAACATAGAAGAGAAATAAAAATGTAAAAATGAAACCCAAATGGAATTTCTAGAGATGAAATACATAATATATGAACTGGATAGAACTAACAGCAGACGAGAGAGTAGAGAAGAAAAGACCAGTGTATGTCAACATACAGCAATAGAAATGATCCAAAATGAAGCAGAGTGGGGGGAAAAGGACTGAACAGAAATTCAGCAAACTTTAAAAGAAAAAAGAGGGAAAGAGATACCATGCTAACACTAGTTAAGAAAAATTTAGAATGGCTAGATTAGCATTAGATGAAGTAGACTTCAGACTAAAGAGCATTACCAGTGATAAAGATGACATTACATAATGGTAGATGTTAATTTATTAGAAAAATAGCAATTCAAAATCTGTATTCAACTCATAGCAAAAACCCAGATTAATATGAAATAAAAACTAACAGAACTGAAAGGAGAAAGACACATATCCACAAAACTCTCTTTCAGCAACTGACATAAAAGAAAAAAACAGGGGTACCTGAGTGGCTCAGTCAATTAAGCAGCTGCCTTCAGCTCAGGTCATGATCTAAGGGTCCTGGGATCGAGTCCCACATCAGGCTCCCTGCTCAGCAGAGAGCCTGCTTCTCCCTCTCTCTCTGCCTGCCTCTCTGCCTACTTGTGCTCTCTATCTCTCTGTCAAATAAATAAAATCTTTAAAAAAAGAAAAGAAAAGAAAAGAAAAAAAATCAGTAAA